AAAAAAAAAGATTAAAAACAAAAGAATAACATAAATAAAAGGACGAGGATAAAATTTAATATAAAAATAAAATAAAATAAATTGTCAAAATTATATATAAAAAAATCAACCTCAAAAGAACTTAAAAGCAAAATAAATAGCATTAAAAAAATAATATTTAAAATTAATAAAAATATAAATTAACATGGAATATTTGATTTTTAGAGTGGATAGTGTGAAATATGACACTACGAGCAAAAAAGAGGGAAGGAAGAAAAAGTCATTTGAGCTCAACTCTACGCTGTGCGTGCTCTGCCTGATAGGAAAGAAACAATATTGTGCTTCTAACGTTGCCGCTAAAGATGATATTTGATTGTTGATGCCCCCCAAAAACACGAGCATCTCCTTCTCAGTCACATACATGCACCAAATACTTTTGATTTCTTAATTATATCTGTATTTATTAAAAAACTGGATTGTCAATTATTAAAATTAATTATAACTAAAAAAAATTATAAAGCAACGAAGAAAATGCTCATGAGATAATTTTTATTTTTCTTCTAATTTAAAAGACAATGCAATCATTTCAACGTACAATTAGAGCGTTAAAAAATTAAAAGCCCCTTGTTTCTAGTTTTATTTTTTAAAAATATTTAAATCATTTAATTAAATATCTAAAAAGTAAAATAATCAAGCTCCTTTCGCCATTAAATCATAACAACCACAATTTAAAACCTTGATTTTAACTATATTTCCACGTATTGGTTTTAAAAAGATATTAATCCAACTATGCTAGACGCCAGGTTGATACTTATCCAAACCCCAGAATGCCAACTTGATCATCCTGCGAATACGATCAAATCAATAAAGGCAGCAAGCCTTTTTTTTGCAAACAAGGACAGGACTGCCTGCACAAGCCAAGACTACAGGAAATGTTATGATGATCATCAAACAACTCTCGTTCCCAAGGCACAATTAATGCCATGGAACTGGAGCACAGATAACAAAAACTTACAAAACTTCTGAAGCAGCAAACTCTAAAGGAAGCAAACAAATTTGACAGAGTCATTCTCACATTTTTTCACGAGGCTCTCTCTCTTGATTCTTGGATTTGAAATCTTAGCTGCTTTACCTCTGTCGCATCTCTAGTGCTGGTGCTGTAGCGGAGGGTGGTTGCCGGGACAGTGGCCCACAGGTTCTGACGTGCCACCAGAATTTTGATTGGCTAAAAAGCGAAGATCTCTAGGTCCAGGAAATCAGTGTGGAGTTGATTGAGATGAAGTATCCATAACCTGACAAACAGATCAATCGGAAATCAATACCAGTTCTCCTTGCATTATTATTATTATTATTATTATTCATATCAATGCCACACAAAAAGAAAACGGGACTTGCGTGGGTGATTCAAAGCATTAGTATTCAACGTTATTATCTATTTCTTTCTATTTTTTTTATTTGTAAATATATTAAAATATTTTTTTTATTTTTAAAATTTATTTTAAGTATTATTAAAATATTCAAAAAAATTAAATAAAAAAATATTTTAAAAAAAAAAATATACAGCCATCCACAGTAGCATTGATCCCATTGTTTTTTTTTAAAAAATTATTTTAAAGTATATTTTTTATATTTTTAAATCTTTTAATGTGTTGATATAAAAAATATCAATTAACATAATTTTAAATGAAATATATTTAGAAAAACAACTATTATTATATTACAAAAAAAATATCTATCTCCGTATCAAAACAAAACAGTAAAATACTATAAATTTTTTAACAGCATATTTGGGCTAATTTTCGTGCTTCATCGACTATATATATATATATATATATATAATTTGTAATGATTGGCATGCTTAAAACTAACCATGTAGGAAGGACTTCTTTTATTATTGAAATATTGCGAAACAAACGTACAATTATTATAAAAGAAGTCCTCCCTACATGGTTAGTTTTAAGCATGCCAATCATTACAAATTATAAATATATATATATATATATCATGTTGAATAATTGCGAAACAAACGTACAATTATAGTATGTTTGTTTAAGATGGGTGCTGCTGTGCTCATGAAAAAAGCATGTATTACATGCTTTTCAGAACACCTCACAAATAAACATTTTTTTTACCTTTAAATCACACAAATCATACTAAGTTATGTATATTTAGAGTTAAACAAGTATAGGAAGCAGATCTAAGTTGATATGGTGACCAGCGTATTAAGATATTTAAAAACTCAACTTTATTATTGTGATAGGAATATTCGTCTCTATCACATTTTTCTTGGCTAGAATTAGTATAATTAAGATCTTAATCAAGATTTATTGTGATTTAGATCATGATATATTTGTGTAAATACTGAGCTCTTGATTGACTAGGATTGTCTCTCTCTTTTTTTCTTTTTTTATTGTAAGCATAAATATTATAAATAGCATAACATCCCCATTCTCTCTTCATCTTGTAAGAGAAATCAATATTATTTCTCTCTAGAAGGATCTCTCGCTTTCATGCTGCTACCTAATCTTCTAATAGCAAATTTCTAACTACACCGGCAATTAACATCCAAATTCAAGGACTTTCACTGAACTAGCATTCCCTCAATGTATAACACACGCGCTCTGGTGTGTCGATTCATGTAATTAAGATCCTAAAATATATTGGACCCACCTTCACATATGGCCGCATCGAACTAAAAAATAAAAATAAATTATCACTCCCAAAGAGATCTAAATACTCACAGCATATAAAAATATCTTAGCCAAATAACGAAAAAACAATTAGCTACAGATTTTACCACCTTTTTAAAAAGTGGCAAATACAGCTTCTTTCCTGGTTTTCTTTTCCTTTTCTTTCATGACAGGTTTTTTGTTAGTCGGGTTAGGTTTTTTTGACAAATTAATTATGATCAATGATTAAGGTCATGTATTAATCTAGTATAATTATCCCGCCAAAAGATTGATGCGTGAAACAAAGACAAACTTATATATTGGATAAACTAATTTGTCTACAGCTAGCACACATTAGTTATTTAAAAAATTAGCATTTTGGAGGGCGTCCTTAATTGCATGACTTCGCTAGCTCCTGCTCCTCATCCATGCTGGTGTCTGTAATTTGTTGAAAAGAAAATCCCAGACAACGTTCATATTCTCTGGGTCAGTTTCTAAATTTGGCCCTACTTGTTTTAAATGCGACAAATAACTAATCTTTGCATCTCTTTGATTGTCCTTTCTCATCTTTTTTTTAGGTGTGTTTGGCACTATATTTTAAAAATATTTTTAAAAAATTATTTATTTTATTTTGAATTAATATATTTTTTATGTTGTTAAATTATTTTGACATATTAATTTTAAAAATAATTTTTTTAAAATAAAAAAATATCATTAATATATTTTTTTAAATAAAAAATATTTTATACAAAATCAGAAATCAACCAAGGCCGTCCAATTGTTACCTCGTTAGCTTACACAATTCACTTAACTGGTGTGGATTTCTGATATAGTACTCTTATGTCCCACGTACCGTATGCCATAACTGATTAGCCCTAATTAAAGAGCGAGATATAATAATGGAAGCACTCAAGGACAAATGGTCCGGTGTTAAACTTACCTAAACCGACCAACTTTACGGTAAGAATATTTAATTAATCAAACATATGATAGAAGAAACCATTTCATTAGTTATTTTGTGTTAGTATCCCTCTTTCCTTTTTATCGAAAATAGTTAGTATTTCTTTGGATCCTCTTTCTTTGTCTCCCCTTGTGCACTACTGTACAAAATGACAACAAAACTAGCTCTCAATTCCTGTAATATTCTTAATACCATGCCTCCTTTGCTCTCTTTTATGCACAAGTACGGGGGCTCGCAATGCACTCTTTTCATGGGGACTGATTCGAGTTTGACAGTCCAAATTTTGGACCGCGTCATTCTATTAAAAATCAAGCTGACAAGCCTTTTATTTCTTGTTTTTGTCTCGATCAATATCATGTTGATAGATTTGAGCATGCATATACAGTCAACTTGGATAGAAAGAACCGTGCCAACCTAGCTATCTCTGTATAAAATGGTGTTTTGCTTCAAAATCGTTAAAATCTTGATTATAGCAACCTCTTAAAATCGTTAATTAAAATCTTGCTAAATTCAAGTGCCGTTAAATTAATGTAGTGCTAATATAAAGATCATACCGCAAAATCTACAGGAATGATTATAGCAGCGTCTCAAGGTGTAATTGCCTTGATTAACATTGTGGTACTGGAAACAATATTGTTCACAGTTGCCTTGATTAACATTTATATGATAGAAAAAATCTAGTAGTTGTGTGTGTTTTATTAAGGGATTAAGAAAAATATAATATATTTTGTTTAAAAATCTATAAAAATACATATGTACTTATAAAACTCTTTATGATTTTGCAATGTGTATAAGCACGTCAAAACTTAAAATCTAGCTTATTTATAAGGACATTAAACAATCAAACAAGCCGAGTTTTAAATAAACTTGAGCCAAGTCTAGCCTAAAACAATTGAACATCATGTTTTAGGTTAGTTGTGAAAACGAATCAAGTTTGAACTTTACTAAAATTAGATGAATTGAAGTAGTGGATGCTGAACTCGGCTCGGTTTATTTGCAGCGCCACTCATAAATATAAGATATTTGACAATTACGATGGTAGCACTCACAAATTCGATGGGCATGAATAATATACACCCACGCACGTGCCTAAAGGTGCTTTTCTTGGCAAAGGCCCCTATGAACTAGGCTCCTTGTGAGGATGCTTGCAAAACTCAGATCCCCAAAATGTTAATTATATTAATCAGCTCCCTGTTGTTGATGCTGATGCTGGTTCAGCGCTCGCAGGACCACAGCAAAAACTAAGGCAAATAAAAGAACTCTGCCTGCCGCCATGCATCGCCCATTAGATATAAGGCAAATTTCCCAGCCAATCAAACATCCATCCATAGTATCAAGTACTCTTAACAAGAAAAGAAAACACACAAAACTTCGCACAAAAACAACACAACCCTTCAAAATTAAAACATGCATCGAGACATTAACATCCCACGCGAATTCCTTGGTTTCCAAACTTATTATAATGTACTTTACCTCCATTGCAAATGACCTTTACTGTCTTCATGCATGAAAACATCCCTTTTCACCAGATACAAGTGATTCCACAAAACAACGAAAAAACGTGCCTCCTCTAACATGCATCACGAATGCCCTTAATTTCTTTTTACCTAGCAAAACCAAATTTAAAAGATGTACATCATTGACATCACTCCAAGAAACGTGAAACCTTATGTCACCGACGAAGGCCGTCAGGTTCCCGTTGTCTGTCGGATTCCGGCGAGGGCGAAGACAATAAGCAAACTACTATGTCAGCAAAAGCACTAATGATAAACTTGTGAGTGTTTTTAGGGTTTAATTTAAGATAACAAGAGAGCAACTCATGCAAGTAGTCCCATTTAGCCCTAACGTCCCTTAGCTCTCTTGCTTCAATCATCTGTTGCATTGAATCTTTAAAATCCGTATAAGGATCTGGTGAATACTTTTTAATCGCGACACCTCCACTGACTGGTGTCTGGGGCTCTGGCAAGGACTCGATGATGGAGTTGGAGCGGCCGGGGGAGGAGAAGAAGAAACGTTGGGAGGCGAGAATGGAGGCAAAATCAAGATTTGATTCTGTGTCTGAGTCGGAGTAAGAGGAGGAGAAGGAGTTGGTGGAGGGAGTACTGAGGGATTTGGAGGTGGGTGCTGAGGAGAGGTCGTAGGGGGAGTTGAAGTTCTTGATAATAATTGATGTGGTAGGCGGGGAGATGAGGGTAGTGGATGATGGTAATATTGGATCGCTATACTCCTGCAACTCTGAGGCCAATGGATGTGAGGATGGGTTTATGGTGGGTAGGCATTTGAGAATGTTCTTCCAGAAGATTGTGGGCATTTTTCCTCTTGATGGAATCAGAATGAGAGGGATTATGATGTGTTTACTGTGGCAATGGCTATAAAAAGGAAGGAAGGTTGAATGGTAGGGATTTTATTTGGTCGGAGAGCAACTGTGCAAGGCGCGGAGGAGTGAGCGAAGTAATAACATTTATTAATGTTTTCTACTCGATCCCGTCCATACAATTTTTCTATTCCAAGCTTTTGTATCGAGGCTTGTACATAAGGGGACACCTTGAAGAAAATATTTTGGAGGGTTCATGTAGATTTCAGTTGTGCCTTGCGCATGGCTAAAGCAAAAAATCTCATGTGATGTGGGGCACGCGGGAGCTTGAGAGTGTAATAATGAATATTTTTTATTTAAAATATATTAAAATAATATTTTATTTTTATTTTTTAAAAAAATATTTTTAAAATTATCGTATTAAAATAATATAAAATAATGTAAAAATTAATTTTAAATAAAAACAATATTTTTTTTACCGTTTGTAACGCGGTACCAGCTATTACATTGGGGTCCAATGTTTTTGTTTTGTTTTTTTCCTTGAGATGAAATGACGTGGAGTAGTATGTATATGAGGTCACCACATGCACACGTTTCCTCACAGATTTTATGGTATATAGTGTATCTTTTTTGGGACACCAAACATAGAGCACAAACCTCTCATCTAAAATAATTGAGAGTCTCAGCCAGTGCAAGCAAAATATTTACCTTATTTATGGTTAATTCTCTACTCACATTTAAAAAACAAGTGCAAGGCGACTCTTTATATATACAACCTCTGATGACAAGGAAAAAAAAATCAAAAGAAAAAAGGAGAGAAATACTTAATGTAATTAATTAGTTGCAATCCTGGTAGCATGAAATTTATCTTTTCTGATGATCAAATTCAAACATGGACCAAAGACATGAGCGATAATAATGCTTACAGCCCTCACTAATTTATTTTTAATTTTCTACGCACACAATTAGAGAACTCAAATACCTTTTTTATACCTGTGTCTTTACGTTCCAACACAACAAGATCCTTACTATATTTTGCACTGACACGACCAACAATGGAGAGTCTTATATATATATATATATATATGTATGTAATGGTGAAGACAAGAACCACGAAGTTAAAGGACACCAGGCTCATCCTAGTCCTACACGGACACTTGGTTTAATCAATTGCCAACAATATCGGTATCCGAGTGCAGGAATCGTATACCATGGTACTCATCGGTTCAAAGCATGCATTTCCAAATTCCTACCGAGTACACTGACCAAATAGCTGTCTGCCCGGCGCTGTGCCGCCGCGACCAGATTAAAAATTTGTTTGGCATAAAAAAATAAAATAAAAAATGGTGTTCATTCGAAGCAAATATATTATAAAAAAAAGGAGGGATCCGCACAGTAGGTCAATGGCCCCGATTAAGCCAAGTATGTTGTATTAGTTTTAATAAAATAATTTTTTATAAAAAGACAATAGTTGTAAAAAGAAAAAAAAAAGACAATAACAATAATACGAGAACAATCTAAAAAAAAAGGAAAACGGGGTGGCTAAATTCTGAGCAAACTAAAGAATTTAGGAAGCAACTGTAGAGAAAAAAAGATAAAAACAAAACATTCTACGCGTGCTCTTGGTTCTTAGTTCTTGATGCTTGGTGTATTTAAAAAGAGACTTGTTCAGCGGGCTGGTTATAAATATAAAAAAAAGCTTTTTAATTTTAAAAAATTATGAAAAAAAAAAACTCAAATTAATATGTTGTAATATATAAAACATATAACTTTAAATATGAGATATTGATAATTCTAAAAAAAAACTAAAAATATTAATAAAGTTAAATTCTCAAACAATACAGCGATAAATGATAAAATATATAAAAAAATATTTAAAAAAATTGGAGTCAATCCATGCTAATTTTTAAAATATGTCATTCAGTTTATAAGTTCATGATTAGCCAATAGAAAAAAAAAATGAAAAAATAAAGAAATGAAAAAATACCAAGGGAAAAAAATTTAAAAAAATAATAAAAGAAAAAATGGAAAAAAATGAATAGAAATAAAAGAAATGAGGTTAAAAATTGTAACTTGATAAAAAAAAATATTAAGAGATAAAATTAAAATAATAAAAAAAATATTGAGGATAAAATAAAAAAAAACTAAAAAAATAAAGATTAAATTAAAAAAACATTGAGTATGAGGGATGCGGTTGAAAAAAATAATACATGACAAAAAAATTAGAAATTAAAAAAATAAAAAGCAAATTAAAAGATAAAATAGACTCAAAGGATAAAATTAGGGGAAAATAAAAAAGAATTGAGAATAAAATTAAAAAAAATCATAACAATGAAGGTAAGATTTTAAAAAATTGAATTGAGTCAAATACCAATTAAAAAAATAATTCAAAATAAAATAATTAGCAACACTGTTTTTTTTTTAAATGACAAATAATGAATCTTATAAAAACCATTTCATCACATGAATACACACATATATATATATATATATACAATAAACTATATCTATTGCTACAATTTAAAAAACCGTGTATATAAACTATATCTATTGCTACAATTAAAAAAACCACACGTTATGTATTTATGTTAAGTATCAGGACGCCGGCCATAATAATGGAAGCAAGTGTGAGGGAAAGGTCACCTTTAGACTATTTAATTCGGGGGTACTTTCGTGCAATTGTGGGATAGATGGCTTTGCTGGCACATGAGAGCATTGAACAGTATGATGATAAATTGCCACCTTGGATTTTTTTGAAAATTAGAACAGTTTAACCTAAAAAATCTAGCAAACAACGTATGCTAAAAAAAGAATTAAAAAATAATACAGTTTTAATAAGAGACGATTAGAAACAACTTTTATTAAGAAAATAAAAACGCATGCGCGCCAGCTCTGTCTCTGCCTCAAACTAGATTCCTTAATTCAATAACTCTAAAAATAAACTCCAGTTAAATATAATAAAGTATTTTTTTCTTATAATAAATTCTTTGGTTTTTTTTCTACTTTTTTCTTATTATATTTTTTTCTTTCAATTCCATTATTTATTGTGAAAATCTTATTATTTAGTATTGGATTGATGTTAAACCTTAAACATGCCAAAAGATTAAAAAAAAACAAAAAGATTTTATTATATTCATATAAAAAACAAAACAACAAAATATTTTATTATATTTAGTCGGGTTTTGTTTTTAGATTTATTAATTCGTGTTTGTTTTTAGAATTTTCCAATTTGATTTTTTTAAATTAAAATCATTATTTCTGGCTATTCTCAAACTTTTGAAAAGTACAGAGCAAAAAAAGAAAAAAGAAAAAAGGTCTCTCTCTGGCAGGGCAATAAAGTCAAAATATCTAACAATTATATTCACCATTAGTTGAAGTTGAAGTTGCGGATTGGAAACCTGATCAAAAAGCTTTTGCAAAAAGCCAAGACCTGGTAGCATTGAAATGAATGGCAGAGAAATAGTGTTCCGTATTGCTCCTGCAAGTGTATTTTAAAAAGTGTGATTTGAAAAAATATTAAATTTATTTTTTTTATTTTTTTGTTAATATTAATGTGCTTATATAGAATCTTTAAAAAAATATTTTTAATATATTTTTCAATAAAAAATACCATACATCATAACATCAAACACACATAAAGTATAACACAGTGCATTTGCTGGTAAATAGCATAGAAGGAACAATATATATTTTTTCAAAGTGCCTGCGATTATAGTATTATTATTTTTTAAAAATTGTTTTTAACATCAATTTATCAAAATAATAAAAAAAAAATCAGTTTACCAAAATAATAAAAAAACAATATGATTTCTTCACTAGTTTTCAGAAGCAATCCAGAAAGGCTGTCGCAGATGGATATGTCAATGATCACCCATCTCATGGCAATGCCGAAGTTCAAGCTAATGACTGCAACGAGTGCTTCACGAGATGAACAGTGCTCAACATAAGAACCCTCGATAAACTTGGAAGCCTAACCATACCAATCCACTATTGCATGTCAAAATAACGTTCTAGAAATTCCCTATTGCCAGTGGAGTGGCTAAACAGACAACTCATCAGTCCTTTTTACAGTAATGGCATTTCAATGCTATGGGATCATCCTTTTCCATTGAAGAAACAGCAACATATAAAAGATGCAAAAAATCCAATCAGCTATACCATTACTGCTCCACAAGACCACATGGTAATGCATAATGCTACCTCCATACTAACCATAGCCAAACGCTATCCAATTTTGATGGGTTTTTTTTTTTATTTGAAGGAAAACTAGAAAAGATCCAGAACTCCAGGAATACATACGATCATAAGAGTTACGAGTAACTGCATACAAATAAGGGGTTTTTATTACATTTTATTTTAAGTTTATGTTTCCCCTTACAGGCTTACAGGCCTACAAACATTTATCCATACTCACAGGTAGAGAGCAACCCTATTCATCACGACTAGCAACTTCCAATCCATTACCTGCAACATTACCAGAAAGATAAAGCAAATGTCTTCTACACAATTGATCTTCAAACTAAACATCAAACCCAGAGAAAGGTCTACAAAAGCTCACCATCTGGATCAAAGAAGAAGACCTGCCTGATTGGCCGATTGGGTACAGACCTCTGAAACGTTTTTATTCCCTTGTCCTTCAATTACCATAATATTTAGCTTCAATTTACTTAAAGGAAATGTAGAAGACAATACTTAAACTGAACATAATCGTTTAAATGCCACTAATTGATAGTGAAATTTGCTGCTAAAACGCAGAAAAATGCTTCAAATTCAACACTTTCTTGGATTCCCAAGACTTCAATAATCATTCAAAATGAACATAATCATATTAAACAACAAAAAAAAGAACGAAGGGGATGATTCGTGATACCTTGAGAGATTGGACACAGGAGTCAAAATTCGAGACAGAGAAGCAGACATGATGTCCTCTAGGGAGATGGGTAGGATCAAGAACCGGTGAAGCGGCACTGTAGGGTCCTTCAGGAAGCTGGGTATCCGGGCTCCTTTCGATTAAGTGGATAGCGAAATCTGGAGAGACCTTAAGCCATATAACTTTGAACTCGAACTTAGGGCTCTCTATCTCCTCAAAACCAAATATCTCTTTGTAGAAATCGGCAAGCCTTCTTATATCTGATGATTCTCGAGATATGTGGTTCAGGCACGCACCTTTTGCTGCTGCCATTTTTCTCTCCTTTTTTAGTTCCCCAGTTGATATCAGGTAAAAGATTTTGAGCTTCTTCGATGCTGTGTAACATGTACAAGAGGCCAGATGGGTACTGTGGGTGATGAGAAAACGACCTCGTTTGATTTACGTGGCTTTATGAGATACAGTACTACTACTAATGCTGTCAAATTGTGCCGTCTTCGGAATGACTGGTGAATCAGCGAGTTAATCGCTGTCAAGTAATATTGTTTAAAAGAGAAGAGAGAGATCAGTAAATCACAAGTGCGTTGGAATCCCACCGTAAGAAGAGAAGCAAGGGATTAAAAGAGCTTGAGAGTAACCCTATATGTGTAGTTGATGAACCAACAAGTCTCGCATCCAACCAAAAAGAAAATTGTCAGTTCTAAAATGGCAGATGGTTGGTTGGAAAAGGAAAAATTTATGTAACTTGGTTACTGAAAATCAATCACCAAAATTATGAATCATTTAATATGGAAGTTTGAAATAGAGTTACGAGTTTGCATTAAATAATAATTTTTTTAAGGATTCTGTCTGAAAATTACCTAACCCGTCAAAAAATTGTTAATAAGTATAAAAATTATCACCAAAAATATCTGCATGAGCACTCACGCTCCCGAAATCCATTGTTATCTCTGCCAATAATCTCTCTCCCAACAAAGGCACTGTGACAATAATCACATATCCTGAGTTTTCTTGAGTTTTCTTGTGATTCTTATAGGTGATCATGGTTGAGTTGGGTTTAAACTAAAAGAACTAATTAAGATTAATTTTAAAAAATAAAAATCAAACCAGACCAAAATCTAATTCAAAACGAATCGGTTTAGCTCAATTTTTTTTAATAAAATCAATAAATCTAATCATACAAAAAACATAAATATTTAAATAAATTATTAATGTTCGTTGCATCTAAAACAAGTATCAACTTTATCATTTTCCTTTTAAGAAATCAAAAGCTAAATTATTATTTTTACAAAGAATTTAAAAACCCCTCTTAACTAGAGAACAAGAAACAAATTAACTCTTTATCTAGTGACTCTCTTTATCAACACTAGAATCACTAACTTACAACTCCAAATAAACCCCTTTCCATATTCATAGATTGTTATCCCTCTTTGTTTAAACCAAAACAAACCATTGTATATATCATTTATCCTCCAACAATGACACCTCTCTTAACATTAGCCACAAATCCATCATTCTTAAACTCATAAAAGAACATATGCTGAGCTTTTCTTCTAAAAAATTTGTGATAACTTTTTTTTTTCTTCTTACTATCATAACACCAACACAATAACCAAGCCATTACATTACCATAAAACTTAACTAACAAATTATAATGTTAATTTTCTTCCAAACACCCAATTATTGTTTACCTACATAAACTAATAGAGTCAAAAATATCAATGAGATGAGATTTAGAAAGTAGAACAAGTCAGTGAGAGCTTTGGGTTCGAGGATTCACAGTAAAAATGGAAAGAATGAGAGGGAGATGAGGCATAGCAGATAAAAGGAAAATAAAGAATGAGAAAAGTATATGGCAGCTTTTTGTGAGAGGGGTTAAATTAGAGTTAGGGTAATTTACTAGTTTCATTTGCAAAACCAAAACTGAACCGAATCTATTAGATTTTATAATTTTAAAAATCAATTTAATCACTTTTTTTTATCTCAGTTTGGTTTTCTCAATTAATTTTTTTAGCTAATTGGTTTTTTTAAACACTGTAGGGATGGATTACTCTTAGGACGAAGGCAAGGGCAATCTTCTCGCTGTGATACCCAACTGCTGTCATTTTCTTTTAACCAGCGGCCTGCATTTATGTCCTTGGCTTAACTAGCATCGCCTGAATCTCACTGTTCTTTTCCTGGGATGTATCCTTTGCCTGGAAGATATGGACTTTATTCTTTACAGTAACCCAGCTACAACCTGCCCCCTTCTTGATCCCAACATCCTTCATTTCTTTTCTTTTCTCACAAGGGTGGCTTCCTCCCATCTGCATTTACGTCCAAGATAATTGGCTGACAAGCAAAAGGAGAATCTAGACAAAGAAGAAAGCTGTAATTAAAAAACCAATTACTTAAAGCAGAAGAAAGGATACCACGGTGAACGAAGCATCTCTAGTATATTACGTGGAAGCAGCCACTCAATTATTCAAAAATTAGATGTGCTAACAAGCAGGACAGGGACCCTCACAATCCAGTCTAAAACAATCGCTCCCAAAAAATATTGTCCAGGATACCGTGCAAGGGCTACTGGATTTTGCTAAGACATATCCTCAAGCTTGACTGGGAAGTCACTACTTTTTCAGATAATAAATGCAGCAACTACGAAAACCACAACAGGTGATAGCATTATTTCTACCTGCAACAATAGCATCATTCCCAGGTCCTAATTCTGAAGGTCCAGACAAAGACAACTTCTATGTTTGTAGCTAGAGAAATCCATGAACAGTGGTTCCATAATATTAAACAGACCCGGTGTTTAAACTTGGATCTTTCAGATTGAAGATTCTAATTTCAATTCCTGAGAGAAGAGTGAGCGGTTATCCAACAGATGGGGAATGCTACTCTCATTGTCTAGCCCGAGGGCCAAAGACAGAGAATCCCATTCCCCAAGAACAAAAAATTTACGAGGTGTGGCAACTGAATGAATGAGGGATTTGGATCGCAATTTTCATTCTTAAATAAGGAGTGGAGATTGTGACTACAGTAGTACATTGACATCAGCAAGCAAATAACGGGAACTTCAAGGAAGCGGATTCAAAAACCATCTAATTAAAGCTAGCTAGATTTGTAGCATTTCTGAAGTACAATGAGGTTGGCTTTAAACAATTAACTTACCTTTCAACAGTAGCTAACATGTTTGAAAGCAGCACATGGTTGCCTGAATTTTCTGGATCAAGTTTGAATAAGTTATCAGCTGCAATTTTACCTTACTCTGGCTTCCTATACACCCTGCGAACATTTAAAAGAGCCCCCCCAAAAACAGAAATTATTGGACGAATTGGCATTTTCTGTACAAATTCATAAGCACGCTCCACCATTTCAGCCCGCCATAACATGTCCACAGTACAAGCAGAATGCTCAGCTCCCGATTCAATCACGTACCTGTTCCTCATTGACTCAAAAATCTCGATACCCAATTTAACAGCCCCTCCTCTGCTACAAGCTGATAAAATAAAGATCAGTGTTACATAATTCAGCACCGCGTCAGGCTGCATTTCTTCAAACAATGAGATGGCCATGCAACATCCCCGTGATATGCGTACCCGCTAATCATAGCATTCCAGGAAACCAAATTCCTTTCAGGCATCTCATGAAAGGCCTGCCCACAATCTTCACTACTTCCGCATTTTCCATACATGTCAACAGGGGCACTCCCAACAAAAACATCATCCTCCACGCATGCTTTCACTGCAAGTGCATGAACTGACCTCCTCGATTCATGTCCTGAAAGCCCTGCACATACGCTGATGACACTTGAAACCAATTAATCTGTCAGCTCAGTCCCTTCCCTTCTACCCATCAAAAACACCACGCAAGCCTTCCCCTTCGCATCATTCTGTTCACAAGCAGCAGCCATCGAACACCACGAAACTGAATTCCTCCTCCCCGTCCCACTGAAAACATTTCAGCCAATCCAACTTCCTTACAGTTCCCATGAAAATGAAGGGTCCCATTGCAACCGACACATCCCTTTCAAACCCACTGCGAATCACAAAGCCATGCAGCTGCCTCCCAAAGTTCAAATACCCCGCATCAGCACACACATTCAAGAACGCACAAAATGTTATCGAATCGGGTTCTCCAACCATCCGGTGGAAATCAATAAACGTATCAATCGCTTTCCGAGGATTCCCATCAAGCACTGCATTAGAAAAGGATACATTCCACGTAGCGATGTTTCTTTCAGCCATTTCGTCAAACAGGCGTTTCGCTTCAAATTTAAGCCCAGTTTTCGAAAACATATCAAACGCGGTGCAGCCAACAAATTTATCGTTAATTTGGCCCAGCTTCACCGTAACCGCGTGAATCTACTTCTCTGAAAAATGCAAGGAAAGCGCAGCAGATGCTTTGAATGCACAAGGGAAGGTGAAATGGATGTTTTCACGGCGCATTTTAGAGAAATAGAGGAGGCCAGAGGAGAAATAACAGATTTGGACAGGGCCAGAAATGAGGGCAGTCCAGGTGGCGTTTTGGACAAAAACTAATGACTTGTTTACAAGTATGCCGATCATAAAAATTAACAACTGATTTACAAATTACAAGTGTACCGGTCATATTGACCTGGTGATTTACTGGCCGTGTAAACTCAAAACATTAACTAACTTCGCATGTATGTTTCTCTCTACTTGGCTGTATACGAGAGAATTTTTATTTAAGTTTTTTAACGTGTGGTTATATTGTAAAATATTTTTATTTAAAAATATATTAAAATAATATTTGTTATTTTTAAAAAATTACTTTTAACATGATATACCAAAATAATTTAAACATATCAAAATAATAATAATTTGAAGTAATAAAAAAATAAAAAATATTTAGATTTTTCAAAAATATTTTAAAAATGTAAAAATAAACGGGGGCTTTAGTTGTCCCAAAAAAATTATAAACAAATTGTTATTGTTTCTTCATATGCTATAGAGTAATGATAGAAGCTATTTGACAAAGGCACTTCATTTCTGATTTTGTTTTTAAAGTTGTTGATTCTACAAAACCAAGTAAGAAATCAATAATGCAGCAATGCACTGCAATTTTCTTCTCTGTAAATAATAAGAACGGAAATTCACACGAGAATGTTAATATAGAGTATTTCAGAAGTGATAGAACATATGGTAATTATTGAGTATATTAGCACTAATTTACTGATCGCGTGTCCATAGAAAAAGAATTATCAACAAAATAGCATCTGGGTTGTGTGGATCATATAGGTACAGCTAGCTAATTTAATGTATGACTTCATTTTGTTTTAACTGATTACTAACAAATTTTTCTTATTGTTTATTCATGTGACATTATGTGTAGGTAAAATATTATTTATAATATCCGTTGGGAAAAATAAAATTTGCCTAGACGACTTGTTAGAGCATAGTTTTAAAATGACTTTGTCTTCTAAGTTGACTTGTTGACTTGGAACTTAGATCATATATGATTTATCTTAAATCATCTATGTAGTTATCCAATTAAAATCAAATAATTTTGTAAATCAAACTATGCCCCAATTAACTTTTTAATTTTTTCTATCTATAAAAATATTATTCTAGAAAAAAAATAAATTGATAAACTTATAAAGTAAATGTTTATCAATACCATATAAGAATATCCCCAGGCATTCTTAAAATGTTTTCATCATCATATTTAATAATAGAGCAAAAAATAAATAAGAATGTAATTACATCTTGAAGGTGAAGAAAAAAAAAACTTACTTCACAACATATTAAATATTAAATAATAAAATTAAATAATAAAATATATTTTAAAAAAATAAAGAAAAAGCCAGTTTAAATCAACATGTCAAATTTACTATCTAATTGTGATATCATAGTAACCTTGTTGAAGATATATTTATTAAAACTATGAAACTTTATGACCAAACAACCTATTATTGAAAAGTGAAATTAAAAAAAAAAATTAAAAAAATAAAAAAACTTAAGTTAACTTGTATGACCATCTTAAAGCAGCGATGCACAATATAAAATTGTGACAACTTTACATAAATAATAAAAAAATTTAATTTTTAATCAATTATATTTTAAAAGATAAAATAAAATAAATAATTAAAAACTAAAATCAATTTGATAATTTTCAAAACCCATAATTTAAGTTATAAGTCTAGGATTAACTCTTTAAAAAGGATAACTAATAAAAAAATATCTTAGACAAAACAAGCAGTGGAAAAAAAAAACAAAGAGAGGAGAAAACTTGACATAGAAATAAAATATTAACAAATAATATTAAAAAACTCTTAATAAAAGAAATGAACAAAGAAAGAGCAAATCGTAGTTAAATCAATTATGAATAATATAAAAATCAAATGAAATTAAATATTAATAAATAAAATTAAAAAAATTATTAGAAAAAGATTTGAAAAAAAAATAATGAAAATAATATGAAAAAAAATTAATATAAAAACAAAATAACAAGAAAACTTTAATTTTTGGATAACCAAAGAGATTTTTGATAAGAGAAGAGAAACAAGAGGGTGAAGAAGTAAAACATATTGCTATCCCATAGCCGCGGGTTAGAATACTGCATGTGGGCACGCTAGTGGAAAGAACTTGATGCGACACTTTGGATGACACCATGAATGACTAGGTTTGGCCGGTGGATGAGGACGCACGCACCGTTTGAACATAACAAGCCTCTTCACATGTCAATACATGTGCACCACGCGCCAATTTAGTTGTCCTGCCCATTCACCTAGTTCCTATATTTGTTCCAGATTCATTTTTGGTCACTCAACACTTAATTGTTTTTCGCCAAATACAATTAATTTTTATTAATTCCCGCTGTAATTATATACACTCACGCATTTAAGATTTCCTGGAACAAGTAATTATATAACTCACACATTTAAGATTTCTTGGAACAAGAACAGCATAAAAAAAACAAGCAACCATGTTATTGAAAAAGAAAGTCGCCAAATTCGTAAATGACATGCTGTTTTTTATTTCTTTTCCAAACAAAAACATGGAGTCAGCTTTTAATTCTGATAACTAGCTTCGTTCTAATTAAGTAAACTAGTGCTTGTTGAGCTATAACCTGTTAACTAGTCCGGTTGGAGAAACATAAACAGCGGACTGTGTCTTCGTTACATCTGGACACTCGTCGTCTGTCGAGTTAATGTTCGTCGTTTGGCAATAGCATATACCACGCGCCAATCATCAAGTGAAATGACCACCGACAATAGAACCTTGTTATTTCATTTATTTACAAGAGAATACTGGGACAAGCACAATAGTTATCCTCATCCAGAAGGGTAGGAGTATTGGCTCAGTTCTCCGCTGACTCACAATTCCTAAAAAATATCCTCCTATCAGCCACATGCAAGAGCATGACCCAGCATCTTGCCCTTCTCTCTACCATCTGAGCTCACAGGAATCCCAATACAGAAAGCTGTGCTCGACTGCTGGAAAGAGTAAGTGTTGTTTTAATTCGTGATTTTTTTTTGTTTTTTTCTGTTGTCCTTGATATTCTGGTTCGATTTCATTTCTCCTTGGTTCGGTTTAATTTGGTTGCAGGTGAAAGAAAGAAAGGGTTTTTGGGTTTGCAAATTAAATCATGTCAGATCCACTGCACTCTCCTTCCAGTAAACCACGTGATCATGGTCCACACACTGCATTTGGTTTGATTTTCGGTCCAGAGTATGCTTTTTTCTTCAATTTTGGTTTTCAATCCCGCTTTATTTTTGTTGTTAGATCCCGTCTCTTATTCTTCACTTGTTCTGTGCATCTGAATCGGGGTATCTAAAAAAAATTCCTGATAATTTTTGTCAAAGGTCAATCGAGCAATACACAAAGCAAAATGCCCTCCGGATAAAAGTTTCTTCTTTACCGCGTTAGTGAAGTAGGTATATAACTGAAAGATGGAAGGTGTTGCAAGTTTTCCAAATCACCCTTGAAATTTGTAAATTAAGGAGCCTTAAAAGTTTCCAGTAACAAATGTGAATTGATTTAACCCAAAAGAAGTTTATGGGCTATTGAATTTCTAAATTCCGCAATTGTAGGTGATATGTAAGGATGTAAATGTTCTAAAACTGTGTCTGAAAGACATTGATGGCTTCTATTTGCTTAACCTAGAGATGAATTAGTCATTTCCTTGCGTTAGTTGATTCTTATGTTATGTTTGGATTTATTTCATTGTGATGACAGTTATGGCACGCCAGTCTCGACAAGCTCTCAGCAGAATGAGCAACAATCAATGGAGAATGATATCCCCCATGGAAGTACTGGTAGCATGCACCTGCTAGATGAGAAAGATATTTTTAGTCAGCAGAATGAGGAATTTGTGGACAATGGTGTTCATCGTGAAAGTAATGGGGGTGGGCATCTAATGGATGAGCATAATTTCTTTGGTCAGCAGAACGAGCAATTTATGGGGAGTGATACCCCTAGTAAGAGTGATGGTGGAAGGATCACAATAGACGTGAACAGTTCTGTTAGGCTAGTTATGCCAGGTGAATCTGGTGAAGGTTTGCCATTTGCTCCGGCAGATTGGCCAAATCCTGGTGATAACTGGGAATGGAGAGTAGGAAAGAGGGTTAGCTCTTCGGGCTACTTCCAGGACAGATTCATTTACCTTCCAAAAAGCCTACAGGGGAAAAAGAAGCAGATGTTTGCTAGCAGGCCTGCACTTGAAAATTACATTCGATCTGCATTCCCAGGCGCAGATGTTGATGCATTTTTTGCATCGTTTACATGGAAGATACCGGCAAAAGTCCAGTCTCCAACAAAAGGTGAGTTTAAATGTTGTCAATGATGCTCTCTATTCTCTTTTATAGAAAAGCATTCTGTGGCAAGAAATTATCAAAAAAATTATAAGGCAATCTCTCAAATTGAAAAAAATGGAAGAAGATGACTCAAAACAGCAAAACATTTTAATTTGACTGAAAGTCATATGAGGAAGTTTCCATTACAGCTTCCAAAGAAAAACTCTTATGTTATCATGGTCTTATTTGTGTTGGAATTTAGATCATAATTTTCAAGTTTTTTCTCATTTCACTGCAATTCCTTAGCCTGTTCTTTGCTATTTGTTAGTGCTGGGACAAGAAAATACCTCAAGCATGTTCTTTTCTTCCATTGCAATATATGTAGCGCATTACTTATAATCTTTTGAGTAGGATTGTTGATGTAATTGAGCTAGTCAATCCCTGTTACTTTGGATAATGTTTTGTTGAGCTACAGGGTTGCTTTGACCAGGCGGCTAAACTCTCATCTTTGTTACAGTGGAAGCTGCGCCTCTCCCTCTTGAGAACCCTCTTGAAGATGAAACTCTGAAAGTTCAAGAAGGGAAAGTAGAAAATCCTCGTTATGGTCGGAGGCAAAGGAAGCAGATTTTACCCATGTTAACAGAAGAAGCTGAAGAACAGAAACAAGAAAAGAAACAGAAAACTCCACGTTCCAGCCAGAGGAAAAGAAAAGAAGATGGGAAACAGGATGCACCTACATCAGCATCCACGTCAAAGCGAAAAGCTACACGTTCTTCTAAAAGATCTGTGTCTAATACTGCTAATGGTGAAATTGTAATAACTGAGCCCGAACCTGTAGTTAATGTCATTCCAGAGGGTTTTGATAACTATCTCAGTTCTTTGGAAGATATTCTCACTCAACCTCTCTCTGAAACTCAAGAATCATACCCTGCAGCCACTGAAGCTCCTCTTACTGAAAGTGATATGGCTAAAGCCCGAAGCAAGCTTTCTTCCCTTCTACTCATGGATTTTCCCTCTCTGGTCTCTTCCAGAAGCATTTCCAAACTCACAACTCTAGCATCCAAACTAAGGAAGGATCCCACTCTTAGTGCCGAACAACTTGTTAAGTTGAAATTGATAGAGGAAATCCCATCATTCAGCAAGGTTTTTCTTGAGAGTAGGCAAACAATAGAGCAAGTATACAAGTTCTTTGGTATCCTTGAGGCAAACAAGGCGAAGGTCAGCTCTCTGAGGGATGAATATAATGAATTGAAGGAGAAAGCAGACCAGCTTCAGTCACAGGTTGATTCCAACTTACTGACTGTGCAGGAAATTGACAATCAAATTCTTCAACTTCAAACCTGGCGAGCAGAGCTCACCGATACAATTGAGAATAACAAGTCAGCAAAGGTCGAGGTGGCTTCTGCCCAAGGGATGGTGGCAAATTCAATTCCAAACGTTGTGCGTGATATTCAGGTTGCCAACTCCAAAATCCCAGAATGGGAGCTAAAAAGGGCAAATGCAGAAAAACGTGAAGCTGAAATTCTGGAAAAGTTTGCCCCTCTAAAAGGGTTTTCCTTGTAGGAAATGTCTTTTTTTCTTTTACGTTGCCATGGGAGTCTAGGTAATGACTTTAAGCGTACGTCTCCATATTGCAATGTTTATTGGCTCTTACCTAGAAACTTACTTGGGATCATGTAGGCTTTTAGCAGCTGTTGCCCTGCATGTCCTTCTGTAGTAGTTTGTTTCTTCACTTCACAATGCTGTAATTGTGACATCTATGGTCTGAAATTATAGGGTTTTATTGCTATGCGTTTCATGTTATAGAATGCTCTCATATCTGTGATGATGCATGGCTTGCTGGGTGATGATATGATCATTTATCATCCATTGAAGCTTTGTTTATTTTACAGGACATCATTGGCAGCGAGCACCGTTTTTTTATTAAAGATGCTTTTCTTCGAGTACACGATATCCCGGCAAGTGCAGGGGACTCTCGGCAAGTTTGGAACATCCCCAAAATTGTTTGCTTTCTTTCTTTCTTTTTTTTTTTGTTAAATGACATCATACATGATTCAACATTGTGCGTTTATCTTTTAGGGTGATTTTGTTTATGCAAACGTGCTGTGTTTATGCAAAAAATTGAATTTTTTATTTTAAATTATTTTTTTATATTTTTAAATTGTTTTAATGTTAAAAGTATTTTTTTAAAAATATTTTTTTGATTTATTTTTAATAAAAAATATTTTTAAAATCAGTTACTATTATAATGTTAAATACTATCTATGTTTGGAATTGAGAGTGTTTGGATGAAAGATAGCTTTAATTTTGTTAGTAAATCACGCGTTTTTGCTTTTAAAAATATAGTTTGTGTTTAAAAAATATTATATCTTTTAAAAAAATTACTATATCTCCAAGCCAAACATGCATATATGTTTAAGATAAAGGTATGCATATATATTTAAGATAAAGATGGGGGATGTGATTGATTTTTTTAACAATAACCTTCTTGAAATATAATCCACACCTCATTAACAATAATATATATATATTAATGTGGATTCATCAAAAAATTAAACTATACTTCATCCTATTTCTATCATAAACACACTACATCATTAATATGTTTGATATTATGACAGTTTTGTGGTTATAAATTAAAAAATATAAGTTTAAGAAAATTAATTTTTGTTATTAATTGTGTTAAAATTATTATTGAATAAAAAATTATTAAAAGATGTTTAGTTAAAATTATTATTAAAAATATTATTGGCAATAAAATAACTAAAAAAAATAGTAATTTTTTAGTTTCAAATTACATTTATTGTGTACTAGATTATTAATATATTACAAATACAGCCAATATGATACGAGGTTGTATTTTTACTGTTTTATTAAGCTTGCTGTAATCTCACCACACAAACATAATTAATTCAAGAAGATCTCTGGTATACATGACTTTGCAAGCACAGAAATGACATCGGATAAAAAATCTTCTATTCTCTGGAGCTAACATTCAGGTCGCTATAGACTTGAAAATTGGTTGATTGTGTCAAAATAAAAGAAATGAATAACACTGATATGCTGAGGGCATTGAAAGCCTGTTAGTTTTGGGAAAGAAAAAAAATTCCAAGAGTTGAATTTTTTTTTTAAAATATACTATCCAAAAATTGCTATTTGTAGAAGCTTGTTTGGCTATGAAACTTGACAAGCATCTTCATCCATGCATGCTGGCAATGCTATATTTCTTGCAGTTTCCTTTCTTTAATTACCTCCCATTCTCTGTTTTCAACAGAGCGTGAAACAGGGGATCCCAAAACAGAGTAACTCTAAAAAACAATCCGTATCATCTAAAGTAATATTAGCTTCTCCCCATGGAAAAAAAAAAATGTATTGGTGTTAGAACACCATTTTTAGATAAACCAATAATTAACCTAAACCAGTAGTAGCGATGAAGGCTTTAACTTAAAAAATATTCAACCAAGCAGAGTTCACTAATGTAGAATGCTAAATGCTCAAGCTGACAACAGTACATAAAAGAATGCATGGCTTTATCCCCTATCAAACTTACTATGACTGTAAAACCTAGAACATGATCATCAATTTATACGAGCAATAAAAAAAAAAAAAGATTAGCAACTAATGAGTTGCCAGCACAAAAAGAGACCGAGGAACGAGAACGAGATCACTAAGGTGAAAGTCAAACAACCATTCTAGTGTCTGGTTTCATCAGCTCCAGGTCCCAAAAACAAACTAAGAATGGAAGAAAGGAACTTACAGTGGAAGAATATCAATCAGTAAAGAAGAGATTTGACTTTTATCTTTCTTGTTGTGTTTTCTTATTGAAACTCGTATGATTTGAGAAGAATTAAAGGGCGTTTGAGCAAAAACTTCAGCAAAAGGATGGTGAGGGTTGTTCTGGTATGTGTATTGCTAATGACTCTCTCTCTTTGTTTTTGTCGGCAAGGATCAGTTAAAAGGAAGGCGAGGGTGAAAGATGAAGGTTATTCTGGCCTCACTGTATTTTCAACGACTATCTCTCTGTTTCGGGAAAATAGGCTTGACAAGAGATACCAATAGCTGAGATCAGAGCTTAGTGAAAACAATTTATAAGTTACCTTAGTTACTGGTGAGACCCACGAGACAATCCACAAATTGTTATAATTTACCAGAGTTTTTGTGGTTAATAGGAAAAACAAAAGTTATCTCACTTTCAACATGATTTTTTTCATTAATATTAATATTCAGGTAAATTTATAAGAATTAATAATTTTATAAATTTTTAATACTTTTAAAATTTGTAAAATTTAAATTGATAATTTCTAAAAACAAATCCTGAACTTGACTAAATAAATTTCGTTTCTTAGAATTACTTTCAACATGATTTAAAAGATTAGTATGTTTGTCAAATTGATTATCTCTTCCTTAATTTGAAGAGAATTTACTAAACTATTATGAATATAGGCAATATAAGTTCCGTGGATAAATAGATATATCATGCATCGCGCATATATATATATATATATATATATATATATATATAAAATCGAATTTATGTATATTATTTTAAGTTAATGAAAGATTAAGATTAGTTGATGTAATAATTTATGTATTTGTATATTGTATTTTTTTTACTTGTAGAATGTGAATCAACCTCTTAGTTTAGTGAAAGAAAATATTTAGTTGCTAAATAATCACAAGTAGAAAAAATAAGATAACAAGGAGCTGGAAAATCTTAACCAGAAAAATTCAACCATGTGACTGACCAATACAGATATGAGTAGTTTCCCTAAGATCATTGAAAAAGTAAATTTAGTCTTGATGACAAAAATAACTCTTACAGTAAAAAGAAAATAAATTTAAACTTACAAAAATGATAAAGACGACAACAACTGTGCATTCATTAACATATATATGTTTTTGCTTGAAAAGGGCAGAAAAGTCATCTGCGGTCCTCGGCTCCTCCAGGGTTTAAACATCCAGTGGCTCTCTCCGTTCTGTCCACACCCCCCCCTCTCTCGGTTCCCTTGTTAGAGCAGATTAGAGTTCGTTTGATTTCTCACTCTCACTCTCATTTCATTTTCGTTTCCAATTCCGGAAGTATCGAAACCACTTACTTTTTCTATCATCGATTTGAGGAGTAAAACTGGTGATCTCTTTTACCTTTCAGGAGAAAAACGAGACCACCTATTTGTATCAGGTAAAGATCTTAATCCTTTTTCTTTTTTGCACTTTCAAGTGTGATTTTACCAATATATGATGCTTTCGAAAAGTAATTAGGTCAAAATTATTCCAAGATTTGCACCACCAGTATTGTACGTGTTGGGTGTAGTGAAATCGGTACTTTATTTCCAATATTTTCTTAGGGAGGGCATTGTGCAAAATTATCAACACTAGTTCCCCAACTCATTGTTAATAATTCCAATTTTAAGCAAAAATGTCGCAAAATTTTGGGTTAAACTTAAATTGTTGAAGAAAACCTAGGGATTGAATCTGTAATTGCCTCCGTTGTTGTTCTTGTCATCATCATCATTATTATTATCTCTTGGATCAAATGTTGTGCCATTGAATTAAATGCTTCCCTATTACTTAGAATTGATAATTGGCACATTTGCAGTTTGGACCTGAGAGTCATCTGTCCGTTTGCACTAGGCTGTCTATCACTTATATGTAGCAACTTTTGTTTTTTTTCCAGTATTTATGCCCTTTACCTCTGCACAGAATCATGGCTGAAAGTGATAGAAACGAACCAATCAACGAGCAAGTAGTTGCGAATATGTACACTGCTATGCGATCTGAACTAAACCAAATTTACTCGAAAATAACTGAACTTGAGATGGATGTGAGTGAGCATTCATTAGTCATCAATGCTATCCAACCGCTTGACCCTTCCAGACGATGCTACCGAATGATTGGAGGTGTGCTGGTCGAGAGAACTATCAAAGAGGTCCTGCCTGCTGTGCAGCGCAATAAAGAGGGAATTGAGGAGGTCATTGCAAGGCTTAATGAGGCTGCTGAAAGGAAGAAAAAGGAAATTGCTGATTTTGAAGCCAAGTACAAGATCAGGATAAGAAAGTCTGACAGTGAAGTAAAAGATGATACTAACAAGAAGGAGGGCTCTTCTCAAGGTGTTCTTGTGGGTCCTGCAGGTTCAAGTGAATGAGAGCTCTCATGTACTTTCCATCTTCTTTACAGTTTATCGGACATGTTTGATCAAGTTTTCCTCACTTTTTTGTTTATGGTGTCCGCGCTTATGGACATGTAATTAGTTGAACATGGCTGTTTGACTAGCTTATATGAATGAACCTGATTGTGTTTGAAAATGTTCGAATGACAGCTGATTTTGAACGAAACCAAGGGAGAACGCTTTGATTTTTCATAGATTTGAAGGTAGGGGATGAGGCTCTTATAACTACTTAGTTTTGTCAGTGTTGCCTGGGCCATTTGCAATCCTTGGAAACTACCTTCTTGAGGTGATTGATGCCTGGTGAATTAGACGAAATGCCAAATCTCTACTTGATTAGCAGTGAAGTCTACGAGCAGAGTGTCTTGGCTTGCGAGGGGGAGAAGTTAGATGGCATGGTGGGAGAAAGCGCGTTTAAGAGGACAATACTTTCTTTTGGAACCCTGGATGTATTGAGTGGCTCGTGGGATCATAGGATGGCAATGGGTCGGTTATGAAGGTTTACTATCTGTATGTCCGCCTCCTCATACTCGGTCCTGTAAATTGCCGTTTAGCTTGTCAAATGAGTAATGGGATGGGTTAGAATTAGAAAAGTGCATGCCCTTCAAATAAGCGGGTAAAGGATTGATATTTTTTTATTTATTTTTTACAGCAGTATATTAAAATAATTAAAAAAATTTATAAAAAATTTAAATAATTATTTTTTAAATTTAACAAATTTTTATTTGGACCGTATTTTCAGGGCTATTCAAATGATGTTTTCTGAAAATTTAATTTTTTTAAATTGATTTTTTTATGTTATTAAATGGTTTTGATATACTAATATTAAAAATAAATTTTAAAAAATAAAAAAAATATTATTTTAATATATTTTAAATAAAAAAAACTTTAAAAAACAATCACTAATGCAACTTTAAATACCCCTTAATGACATGCAAATGCTTATTTGTAAAACAATTTTAACAGGGAGACAATTGTGTAGACAAAAAATTTGACAAAAAAAACTTTTAATTGATAAATTATTTGTTAAAACTAAAAATTAGAATGAAAATATTTTTTTTAAAAAAAATGAACTAAAATGAACATTCATACTTGATTTTTTTTTTTTTTACTGGGCATGGGTTGGGTATTTTTTTGGATATAGATTTATCATAAAATTTATTAAGGAATAAGGATTGAGTAAACACAGCCTTTTGTTAAGTACGACTAAAATCATTCTTTAATTTTTATACTGCTTTATCCACAAGTAAAAACATTATTCAAAAAAGCATTGTCAAAACCCATCCGCTAAAAACCAAGTACTCCTGAATAATATGATTTTTTTGAATATACTAATTTTATTAGGTGAAGATATACCTTGAAAGATTTAAATAAGTTGAAGAGCAACATTGACTAATAAATAGGGTGAAAAAATAATAATGCTAAACATGGATAAAATATAATAAAAAAATTGCAAGAATACACAGTTTTTTTTTTTTGTTTAAATTTGGGGCTGGAAGCACAATTAAATTAAATGGGGCAGAATTGATTTATAATAAAAACTCGCAGGAGAATTATTAAAGATACCAGAAGGTTTATCAAAAAAATTCTTGGTTAAACTATAATTGGTTAGCCAATCTACTCAATCTGCCTTTTTATAGATATGATGCGCCTCTAGTCTTTTACTATTAAATTCCTAAATTAAACTATAATTCTTGTTAATGATAATTTTAATGTTAGTGATTAACTCAATACCAAGATAAAATTTAATTCCAAAATATTTTTTCTAAATCCTTTAGAGGAAGCTATCTTTAAACAGTTGGTAATTACCCACAGTTCAGCATGTACTGACATGCAGATCCCGATAATAAAAGCAAAACCCACAATCCACCTTTACATATCATCCTTCATAACTCCACCAGCTCCAACCACTCCTGGATTCCTCTTATTACAACCATCCACATTAATCTTTACCTCGTTGGAGGGTATCTCCACCCTATAGAAACCAGATGCTTGATATTTATTCTGTATCCAGATTTACCAAACATAGCCTGACTGATTTCACCATCTAGCCTCCTGGTTATGTGAACAGTACCATGGAAGGACTTTGCAGCAGAGCCAAAAATTCGTTGGTTTCTCTCTCTTTCTATACCTGCCACAAAGCAATCCCGAATTCAATCCCCCAACCATTCCTCCTAGAATTGGGATGACTCCTCCTTAAATTATTAACTAGCCAGGTTTACCAGTTATGGAATAGAAAGCCTCCCTTTCTCTAACTTCAACAATTCTATCCCAAACCCCAGGTGCTCTTGGGCAGTCTCGAAGAGCATGGATGATTGTTTCCTCTCCTGTCAAACAATGACAACAAGAATACACAGTTAATGATTCTTAAGATTCCCTCTCTCGGTAGTTAACATGTTTGTATCATTAATACAACAGCCGTCTCTCCTAGTGGAAATGTCATGCTGGAAGTTAATAATCATCAAGACCTTCTGGAATCATGAACGAGCTCTCCGGATGTGTCTGTCTACTGATAGCCAAACTGCAACTCTGAAACCTGAGGATGATATCAATCAGGTTCTCCAGGCGCTACTGGTTTCACAGGATGCTGAGTACAAACTTGCAGAGGACTGCTGTTTGCTCAAAAGAAAACCTTTACCAGCATGTAGACACAGAGAGGTCTGAATTGGCATGTCACACGTCAAAAACCAAGCCAGATGCTTTGCTGAGTGCCTTATTGAGCAGGGTTGATCAGATAAAGCGGGAAATGTGGAAACTCAAGGATATGGAAGAAGTGGCCAATGGATTTGTAAGGACCTGTAAAGATATTCTCAAGGAACACTTTGGTTGGGAAGTTGGGGGATAAGGTTAGTCTTTGTCAGACGCTCATAAAATTTTGCCGGTGCGCTGTCTTCATGCTTGATCTGATCAGCCGTATATTCTCTAAGTATACACAGGCCGTGGTACGTTTATCCGCGGACATGCAAATGAGCACATATTCAGAGATCTAGTCTTGTTAGTTAGGAAATTTAGTGTCAACAATACAAAGGATGAAATTAGGCATGACACTGAATCAACACAGCGATTCAGAACAATGTTTTATCAAACGTACAAAATATGGTATAAAATGAGAAGTAATCACTTAAGATCTGCAGATCTGACCAAGGGTTGGAAACACCTGCAAAAAGTACGCGCACGAGTCTAGAAATTGAGAACTGAATCTGACCTTTATGCAACTTCAATGCTGTTTTTGATACTTGTTGGGTAATATTCATTAGGTGATGAATGATAACGCATGAATTTTGGCTCAAACAGGCCTACCCGTAGAGTTCTTCTTTCCCCAGTACTATCTCGCAGATAAAGCTGCGTGAGAATTGGCCACACATGTTGTGAATGACCAACGTTGACATTTCTTGCCAAAACCTGTAATTTTTGTTTGAAGTCCATTTTGATATATCGTCAAAAATAATCTTCACTTAAAGATTTGGGTTTCTAGAGAGAGCTCGATTTATTTGATAACTTTTATTTTGTCCCAGGGGCTGTCAAAGGAACATGGATTTCCCAATGAGCAGTACTCCATAAGTGCTGGGGAAAAAAATTGATTCACGACATGATAAGAGGAATTTAGTACCATTGATTTACATAAACCGTAAGTGTACGTGCCAGTGAATTTTTCTTTAGTTAAATCCCTAAATTTCCACTTGGTTAAACATTTAATTTCTAATGAAAATCCCATAATCTTGACTACGAAAAACCCTTTGGAAGACGATAGCCTTTTCATTTTGTTTTTAATTAACTAAAGAGTTTTGCTGGTTCATTGGAATCTCCAGCAGTTCTTGAGTAATATAATAGGGTAGCCTTTCCCAATTCCTAAATTATGTATCTCAAATTTCGATCCATAATCTCTTAATGGAAGTCTTTAGTTTTAACTATACCGTTAACAAATCAAAAGTTACACCAGGAATCGCTCAGGTTACCCTTTAATACCCACGCAAAATCATCGCATTTCAGTATAGATTCTGGTTTCGAATTCTTTATCCATGGTCCAACTCGTTCATTCCAGAGGTGCGATTCAAGGAAGCCAATTGCTCTGATCATCTACTCTAAATTCAGAATCTATATACGAAGGTGTTCCCATAAGCAGTCGGAGCTTTCTCCTTTCTAATATATCAGTAATTGATTCTGTAATAAACTATAGGAAAACCAAATAGGTAGCGTAACAATCCAGAAACTGAAAACCAAGACAACGGTTTGTCTTGCATCCATCTTGACTTTGATCACTTGATTGGGATAACTACGGCCAAAAGCATAAATCCTCTCCACGTGGTGTCAGTTGAAAAATGTTGACCTGTCATGCTAATCAAGGGCCGCATATCTGATAGTGATCACTCGAAGCTGCCGTGGTTCGTATACGCAGGCCAAAGTGGAGAAGCTTTGCTGGTAGAAGATTCTTGAAAGTGGACACTTTCTTTTTCCATGACCAGCATTCTCAACGATGACCATACAATGCAGACACCTTTTTTCTTTAATCAAAATAGAGGTGTTGACAGGTGAAAATTTTACCGCCCTAATCCCCGAGCAAGGATAATACTTTCAACTTACATTTCAAAAATTACTGACAATACAAGAACCGATCATTATGTTCGACTTTTCAAAAAGACGCAAAAATTCCAAGCCGAAATTTGACTGTCACTGATGTAAAACGAGGGGAGGGTGTTCCAGCCAACCTAGTCTTCATAAACACAATCATTTCTTCGGTCACATACGTCAAACATAACACCGATACCATTGAATGTATAACAGAGTCTGGCACAGAAACCATATATATCCTGCAATCACGTGAAAGAATGAACTGTGCAAATGAAGCATATGCATCCACTGAAACAAACATTGTGAGGCACCCAGCACTGTTTTCAAACAAAGTGCACCCCGGAGCATCACTAGGGCCAATTGTTGCTAGTGATGCACGGCAGCCAGAGGAGCGTTTAGCGCCCATCGCACCCGTGACTATCAAGGGACTCCAAAGAATAGTATTACGCATGCATCTCTGGCTTTAAAACAGACAGAAAGGGATGAGGCAGTGCGGCAATAAGTGTCTGATTATGCAAAATTTAATTCTACGAGGATGCCTAATAAATCAAGATTTTGATGTTGCTCTTACATGTGAAGGAATCGATTCATTTCTTTGAG